AGATCACTTCAAGCCTGAATTGTGTGAAACTGGGGCAGATAGAACATAAAAATACACTACTGAAGTGCATCATGCTGCATCGGGTGAAGATAATGGCAAGTTTTCCCCAAATTTATAGGGGTCCGTTCGTGGTAATGAGAGTGAGAGTGTTGTCCAATGGTGCTTTGTATGTAACAGATGTAGAAGGCGAATGTGTGGATATGGTCATCAAGTTTGGCGCAATCAAAAGATGTTACGAATGTTTTCCTTGGTTTGTTTAATTGTGCCGTTTGCATCTGGCATGCTTTGAAGATTGGAATGACGAAGGCGTTTTGTTTTGCTATCTAAACACTTTATCCTTTGTTACCCCCTTTGAGCCTTACTTACTTCCTTTCGTACCCCTCTTTTGGAATCAGTAGCAAAGATCATAAACGCAAGCGCGAAAGATAAGTAAAGAAAAAGAGAGAAAAGAAAAGATGAAAATTGAAAAAAAAAGGGAAAAAGAAAAAAAAAACAAAACAACAAAAAGAGAAAAAGAGTAAAGAAAAGAAAAGAAAAAAAAAGAGAAAAGAAAGAGAAATAGAAGAAGAAAAGAAGAGAGAGAAAAATACAAAAACGAAGCAATTTCTATATTATGAACTATGTTTGACCTGATTCCTTTTAAGGATACGTAGGCAGCCTCACGGTTCGGTCCCATCAAAATAAAATCCAAAAGTCCCCAAGCAAAGAAACTGGGGCAGAAGTTGTAGTTCTTGTAAGAAATCTGATTCCGAAAGTTGTAATCTTGAACCTAAATGAGTTGTTTTGAGCCTTTTGATACCCTTTCTTTCTAACCCCATCCAAAAGCCCACATTACAATCCAAAGAAAGACCTTCCGATTAGTCTTCGAGAGATGCCAAGACGAGCAAATAGAGGTGAATCATATCAGGGGAAACACTCCGATCCAAACAAGGGAAATGAAAAACGAGAGAATCTTATTGATGAAAACCCTCACGGGTACCGCAAGGTGTTGGAAGCTGAGAAAATCAAAATGAGAGAGTCTTATGGGTGAAAACCTTCACGGGCACCTTGAGGCGACTGTAAGTTGAGAGAAAGAACAAAATGAGAGAGGCTTGATGGTGAAAACCCTTCGGGTACTGCAAGTCGAATAAGGATTGTGAGTCAGATTGGATAATAGAAGCGTTGTAGCCCAGTTTCACGGTTTAAGGGTACAACAAGAGTTGAACATCATGCTTACTTGATAGAATAGGCCACAGGTGCATGTCATGGTCATTAGAGTTGGTATCCACATCTGATAGGTTTCTACTTTGTAGTTTTCTTCTTAGGAATCACCTCTTTCCTTTGTCCTTTACTCTGTTCCTTTTGTCTTGTTTACTTTCTCTTCCTGAGTCTGTTGGTCAGAACAAATGAGAAATGACTTCAAAATTTGCCACCGGCTTTCCAATTTCACAAAACGGGATCTGGCCAGCACATCAAAGTGGCATAAGTTAGGAAAGAACAACAAGCGCATTGAGCTAGTAATAATCAACATGCTTTGGGATACTTGTGAAATACAAAGGTTTGGTACATATCAATTCATCAACAATGCAATAGATGGAGGGTGTAGGGTGAATGGATCCAAGGTATTTTCCGTGGTAAGATTAACAAAGAAAGTGGTTGACCAGTGACAAGCAAGGTCTTCCAAGCATAAATCAAAGTTATCGTGGCAAGTGAAGGAGTAATAGACCTCAAGGCCAATGCCAGTGAGTTAAGTCAGGAAAGAACAACATGCACATTGAGTGGACGGTGATTGACGTGCTTTGGGGTTCATGTGAAATACAAAGGTTTGGTACATATCAATTCAGGAACAATGCAACAAGATGGAGGGTGTTAGGTGAACGAATCAAATGTATTTCTGGTGAAACACAAAAGTTGGTAAATGTCAGTTCATGAGCAATGCAAAAGATAGAGGGAATTGGGTCTGAACGGAGAAGGGGTATTTTCTGTGATAAGGACGACAGAGAAAGTGGTTAGTCCATAAACAAGCAAGGTCCTCGAGTGGAAATCAGTTATCATGGGAAGTGAAGGAGCAATCGCCCTCAAAGTCAAGGCCACAAACCAACCACCACATTTTAAAATGACAAGATTTTTCTTTGATTGAAATAGGGGCAGGAAATTTCGGTTGTTTCGGAGAAACCCTCCGTGGAGAAAGGCCATCACCAAAGAAGTTTGATTTTTGATTTTTAGTACCCTCCTGGAAAATGGGACCTAGTTCAAAAATAGCGTAATCTAGCATAAATGTATCCCAAAGGAATATAAGATGGTTTAGAAGTTTGCATGTTCGAGATAAGATTCAACTAGGAGTTTTCAGGACCTTCCTGAATAATGGGACTTAGCTTTAAGATTTCGATTAGATAACAACATTTAGCGTAAATTCTGTTGTAGGGTAGTATAATTCAGCCATAAAAGTTGACACTCTTAAGATAAAATTTGACCGTTGATTTTCAGGACCCTCCTGGATAATAGGGAGTAGTTTAAAGATCCTCTTAGATAACAAGATTTAGCAGAAGTCACACCTTTAGAAGATATAACTTAGATTTAAAATTGTCGTTTAGTTAAGAATTGTCAGGACCCTCTTGAATAATGGGACCTAGCTTTAAAATTTCCATTGGATAACAAAATCTAGCGTAAGTTCTGGTGTAGGGTAATATAAGTTAGCCGTAAAATTGTCACTTTTAAGATAATACTTGATTTTTGATTTTCAGGACCCTCCTGGATAATGGGATTTGGTTTTAAGACCTCTATAGATAACGAGATTTAGCAGAAGTCACACCTTTAGGAAATATAATTTAGCTTTAAAACTGTCATTTCACTAGGAGTTTTTAGGACCCTCCTGGATAATGGGATCTAGATTTCAAATTCTTAGAATACTTGGTGACATGATTCAGTTAACACTCACGTATGCGCCCAACTACCAAACTGGGGCAGAAAAATTTTCTTTGTTTTTGTCTATTTTGTTGAAGTCAGGAGCCCGCCTGGAGAGTAGGGAATACATTTCAAGTCAGCAGTCAGAAGCCCGCTTGGAGGGCAGGGAATACATTTCAAATCAGCAGTCAGGAGCCCGCCTTGAGAGCAGGGAATACATTCAAGTTCAGCAGTCAGGAACCCGCCTGGAGAGAAGGGAATACATTTCAAATCAGCAGTCAGGAACCCGCCTGGAGAGTAGGGAATACATTTCAAATCAGCAGTCAGGAGCCCGCCTGAAGAGTAGGGAATACATTCAAGTGAGCAGTCAGGAGCCCGCCTGGAGAGCAGGGAATACATTTCAAATCAGCAGTCAGGAGCCCGCCTGGAGAGCAGGAAATACATTTCAAATCAGCAGTTAGGAGCCCGCCTGGAGAGCAGGGAATACATTTCAAATCAGCCGTCAGGAGCCCGCCTGGATAGCAGGGAATACATTCAAGTCAGCAGTCAGGAGCCCGCCTGGAGACTAGGGAATACATTTCAAATCAACAGTCAGGAGCCCGCCTGGAGAGCAGGGAATACATTTCAAGTCAGCAATCAGGAGCCCACCTGGAGAACAAGGGAGTACAATGCAAGTTTTAGCTTTCAAGTTCTTATTGATATTTGGTAATGTGGTTCGTTTTACACTTACATATGTGTCCAGATACCCAAACTGGGGCAGGAAAAGTTTCTTTGTTTTGTCTATTTTGTTGAAGTCAGGCGCCCACCTGGAGAGCAAGGGAATACAATTCAAGTTCATGCAATCAGGCACCCACCTGGAGAGCAAGGGAATACGTTCAAGTTCAGCAGTTATGAGCCCACCTGGAGAGCATGGGAATATAGTTCAACTTCAGCAGTCAGGCGTCCACTTGGAGAAAAGGAAAGCATCTCAAAGTACAATTCTAGTTCAGCAATCAGGTATCCACCTGGAGAAAGGGAAAGCAGCTCAAATTACAATTCAAGTCAGCAACAAAAGGAGCTCGCGGCAAAAATGTGAGTCAACAATCCGAGGTGATCAACAAAAGTTAGCCACAATAAAGAAAAAGGAGAAGGGCAAGAAGTTAATCCAAATGCATAAGTTGATGGAGGATGTGAACTGCTTAAGACATGGTGGAAGTCACAAGCACTACAGGTCCGGTCTTGATCCAAAAGCTGAAGAAGAACGAGCTAGCACCTACAACTAATAAGCGTCAATGTTCAAATCTAAAGTCTGCATGAAGAACCATTCAAGACTCAAGATCAAGCTTCAGAAGACTTATACATAGGAATCTTGTAACTCATAGTTGACATGCTTAGTTAGTCTTTTTTCATTTTGATTTTTGATGTAATAACATGACCGCGGACCGGAACCTCGGCGGAACGGCACCTCGACTGGCTCTCCACCTCAGTACTCCATTATCTCACTCACCTCTGAACTACACGTGACCTGATTCCTTTATAGCCAAGGATATGTAGGCAGCTCAGATACCAGGGCTCGATCACATTCCCCTTTTCTTAGTTTTAGTCCCTCCAAATAAGGGTCGGGTCAAAAAACCTGTCTAGTCATTCTTTGTCTGAAAACTCTTCACGTTTCCAGTCAAAGAGAGGCAGCTGTAGACATGTGATTTTTGACCCTCCCCAAGAATTTTTATATTTTAGCGTAAAATATTTAATTTAGGCCTAATATAACTATTTTGATTAATTTTGACTCTTTTACTTTATTTTATTACAAGAAAAATGAAAATTACAAAAATTATTTCATTAATGTTTTGTAGTCATTTTTAATATTGAAAAATACCAAATAATAATAATAATTTATTTTAAAGGTCAGTCTTATTTTAACAGCTATTTTACTTAAGTAGGACTAATTAATAATTGAGATCGTATTTTTAGTCTTGTTCGCGGGGAAAGGATAGAACTTGGGCTCGAGCAACCCATTTTTAGGCCTAATTTTGGACCTAGCCCATAATTTCCAAGCCCATAATTCCTAGGCCCATACCCCTTAACCTAAAAACCCTACCAAAACCTAGACTCTACATAAAGAAGACACCTAAAAAAAATCTAATAAGGAGGGCACCTAAGAATCAGCTGATAACCTCAGAGACTAAGGAGACTCCCCCCTCGATCTGGTTCTTGATCTCACCATCAACACCAGATAACAGAACCCCCATTTTGGCCAACCTAGAGCACCTTAATTCTTTCCTTTTCCAGGAGCGAACAAATGGCGAAAGAGAGTCCCTCCAAAAATTAATCAGCGTCGTTACTCCTCTCCCCCACCTTCATCATCTTCTTTCCATCTAATTAAAAAAAAAGAAACACATACAAGAGAAATGGACAGATTCAAAAGAAAAATGAATGAAAAAAACAGAAAATAAAGGATTTGAAGGCTATTCGAATTTCTGCTCTTTTGCTTTAGTTTCTTTTTGGAATTTTGAGTGACATTTAGATTGAAGAAGTTTTGTTTGGTCGCTGGAACTATCGTTGATGTTCTGCTGAGTCCGCGTAGCTGAGCTTTCTAGTTTCTTCTTCACCTTTGTTTGATTCTACTTTGCCTGTTTCGCTACTATCCAGGTATTGTTACTTTCGAACCTATATTTCAGCCTAATAGGCGAATTTTTGGAATTATTGGGATTGACTACTAGATCTTCTTCATTTAATTGCTTTGTAAAGTGTTTAAATTTGAATATTTGAGTTTGAATTCTAGCTTGGATCTGTCTGGTTTTAAGGTGAATGATTGGAGTTGTATTGACTTTATGTTTGATGTTTGAGTTTAGTGAGGCCGGCGCTACTCGTCGCATTGACACTGTGGGTTGGAGCATGAAAGAAAATGGAGTCATGGTCAATCTCAAAAGAACCACAGGACTAAATATTGATAATGTAAAGATATTGAGTGTTATTTAATTAACTATAAAAAGTTATTAAATGTACCAGTAGAGTGGAAGGTAATTTCTCATGCATTATTCTGAAGGATTTGAGTTTACGACATTTTTCTCTTTGCAATGACACATGAATTATGTTATATACAAAAGTGCAGAGACATTTCTATTACTTGTTTAGAAATTGGTTCTACTTATATACCCATGATCACCTCATGTATGCATCCAAAATTTAAGTTTGGAATTACTGATAGCCAAGTCCCCTGTTGCTTACGGGCTCTTGCTGGAGCTTTCCTTGAAATCTAGATAACTTCACAAAGAAGAGGGGCGAGGTATTAATTGTGTTAAAGTAATTGGTTTAGAGTGAATAAGTTTGTTAAATGCTATATGAGCTCTATTTGATATATGATGCTTCCTGCTTTGTTTTGGGATATATTTGAAGAAATTGATTCTTTGCTTCTGATTCTTGATTGATTTGATTACTTTATTATCTTTAGAATATTACTTAGATTTCTTACGAACTGTTGTTCGTAAATAGGTCATGGGTTACGATCTCAAGAGGAGAATTGTATTTGACATTAAACTAAGAGTTCAATTTGCGAAGCTCCATAACTTTAGTATATACTTCAATAAGCTTACCACCTTTCCACAATTAATTTACTTTATTTCTTGTGAGCACGTGATTTTTGTTTTGCGCGACAGTCGCTCCAAAAGAATAAAAATTGGTCCTGCTGTACAATTTTTGGATTTCTGTACGGCACTTTGTTGATTTATTTGTGACTTTGGCCCATTTTTATTTATTTACTTTATTAAAACAAAAATTCTAAATTTTTTTTTTTGTACGTGTCATGCATAATCTGAACCGTAACATGGTTTAAATAGAAAGGCATAAACAGACATCTTTGTCCGTGATTTTGTTTTGTTTGATTTTACCTGTTTTGAAATATCTTTAGTGTGTGTGCAAATAATTGTATTGAGTGTGTATTTAAT